GCATTACAGTAAAACTGCAACAATGGACTTTGGACAAGCAAGCTTTAAAAAACTGAAACTCTGGTGTGAAACAGCTAAAAACATGGAGTTGGCGAAAAGGAAATGCAAGGTAAAATCCTAACATTGGTTAAAAATAACCACAATTTAGCTTTTTGGCAAAATTGTTCCGCACTAAATCCAATTAGAGCTGAAACAATTTATCAGATCAACTGATTTACTAATCGATTTATCGTTTACTGGAGTATAGAGACGCTGAAAGGTGCCTTTAGCTGACAGAGCAACTCACTTAAAGCAGGAATTACCAATATTGTAAAAATATATTAAAATATTTAATTGAACATAAAATACTTTTTTATCTGTCAAAACTCCTCAAGTGGAAAAGTTAAATTTTCACCCTGTTTAAATTCGTAAAAAAAAATCTTCTTTAAAGCTTTAATTGAAGATTTTCGCAAATGTTTTAAAGACCCTCTCCACCTAAGGTGGTCTGAACCTGCTGCTGAGAGGGAACCCCTAGTGGTGCCGTTTTAGAGCAGTCCTCTAAAACGGGCATCCCCAACCTCTGTCCTCGAGGCCCGCTGTCCTGCAGGTTTTAGAGGTTTCCCTGCTTTAGCACAGCTGATTATGATGATTGCAGTAGAACTAAAGCCTGTTAATCAGCTTTCAATTAAAATCAGCTGTGCTGAAGCAAGGAAACCTCTAAAACCTGCAGGACAGCGGGCCTCGAGGACAGAGGTTGGGGATGCCTGATCTAAAAAGCTTGCAAGTACCCTGAGTAAGATAAGAGAAATATTTTTGGTGGGGCTGATATAGCCTAGTGTATGTCTCCAACTAATCCGGAATAAGAATTCAAATAAACAATTGGACAATAAATACAATTTAACAGTAATGATTTAATTTACTATATAATAACAGTAACAGTGATGATTTGGGTCACTGTGACGGGGTTCTTTGGCCTCCAAGAATCCAGGCTCAATCGGGTTACCGGTGTTGGTGATTTATTGTGCTCAAAAACTCAAAACAGGGTGCAAAAGAAAGTAAACATGTACAAGATCCTCTGGGCCTCAGCCTCCCTCCAGTTACCAGCAATGTAACAAAGAAACAGAAAACAAAAATTGCTGCTTTTCTTCCCACAGCCCTCATTAAATAGTTTAAGCCCCTCACATCAGGCTCTCTTATTTCTGATTTCTTCACATGAATCAGTTTTGTCCATATATTACCTCCACAAACAATTGATGTACAGAAACAAATAATTTTTACAACTTAATTCTTTTACACAGATTCATTGACTTATTCAATTACACCAAACTGGGTTTGAACCCAGCAAAGACGCCGCCAGACTGAAGATGACAAGTCCCCATAGCATACACCCCCCCCCCACTGAAATATTAAGTGTGCACCCTCAATATGCCAGCAGGTAACCAGGAACAGCTTGTGTGTTTTAAGTTCATGGAGCTACTGGGCTCTGCGCGAGTGTATTGGTCCTCACAAACACAGTATAACAGGAATGTGTGTGTGGCGCGCAAAGTTAGAGAGGTTGTTTTAAGCGACGAGGTGGATTCGTCACAGTCACAATAACCATGAAATGAAATGTTCATATCATACAACAGGGATGTTCTTCTGGCAAACGGGTAGATAAATAAGGATCTCACCGAATTTGGTGGAAGCTGCATCTCGTTCGTTACATTCGCCATCTTCCCTCTAATTGTCTGCACCTGCGCTTGGGTTCAGAAGCCTGTTAAAGCGCAGTATTTTCAGAGCCCCAAGACCATAAAGTTCTGAGACGCTGATTGGCCATTAAATTCACCTAGCAATAGTACATGATTGACAGATTCTCTGCAAATGTGGGGCTGTCTGATCAGCGCCCCCAGAACAGAGACGGTAGGAGTCTGTCTGTGGAAATCCACAAATTAATGACAGTAGATAGGGAAATGTAGTTTATATAATTTGTTTTGCTTATAGGTAAACACTCTAGAGAGTAAAACGGACATTTGAGTTAATTTCTAAAAATATATTTTACGTTTCTCTTCTTATCAGGGAGGGCGGTGCCCCAGCGCCCCCTATGGGCCGGCCGCCACTGCCTTAACCCCATACTGCTCCCCGAGGGTAGGGGCGGATTTAGGAAATTTGGGACCCTAGGCAAAGACATGCAGGGGGCCCTCTGAATGGAGAAGACAACACATAAAACAGACCCATTCTACAGATAGAGAAATGTTACTTGAATAGACATCCATTATCTGTTCTAGGTTTTGTCCCTCTCTTCTTGTCCCTTTTCTTCTTGTTTTCCTCTCTATGTTTTGTACTCAGCTGACTTTTCATGCTGTCTCTAAAGGAATGAAAGATTTTTTCCAAGCACTAAGCTCACTTAGCTGATTGCTCCTTCCTGTGTTTCCAAAAAGGCCAAAGTAAATAACCCAGTCCTTCTTTTCACTGTAGACAAGCCATGATCTGCTTATCTGTTCTCCATTTTTCATTTGGATGAAATAATAGCTGCATGAATCATGACAGCAGACAAGATAGAGGAGAGCAGGAGGCGGGGTTACCAATCTACTCGCTCTGGAGAGCAGAGTTCGCTGCTTTTAGATGTTGTCTCCAAAGTCTCCAGTAGCAGAAAAAAGTCTCTAGATTTGGCGCTAGGAGCTTTTTAGAAATCAAAGTGCTAGAGGGGTCTGAAAAGTGGCTAAATATAGCGACTAAAGCGCTAAGTTGGCAACACTGCTCTTTGCATGGTTTGTTTTCAAATGGTTTGCTGCTGTCTGTTTGGACCTTTCTGAACATGTGCAGCAAATGGACTGATCCAATATGGTGGACACTGAAGGGGGGGCTGAGACACACTTAATATTATCAGCGTTCTGATGGCATTTTAGCCAAATGATTTTTATCAAAAACATGATTAATGTACAAAAATAAAGAATAGTTGTATTAACCATACATGGAAACAGAGCTGGACTCTGGGAGAACAGGAGAACGCAGGAAAAATCTGGGTCAACTGGAACAGAAGCGCACTGATGACATCACATTCAAAGCTAGTCTGGAGCTGCATTTCACCTCCTGTTATTAATAGACCCTAGATCAGGGGTGGGCAATTCCAGTTCCTGAGGGCCTGTATCCTGTACCTTTTAGATGTGCCTTAGGTTCAACACACCTGAATCAGATAATTATGTGATTAAGATGACTCTGGAGGAACTGACTGCATACTGAGGAGGTAACTCAGCCGTTTTATTCAGGTGTGTTGGACAAAGGATGGATCTAAAAGTTGCAGGATACCGGCCCCCAGGAACTGGAATTGCCCACCCCTGCCCTAGATTATAATATTACTTTTTTCATTTAGTGGGGGCCGCTGCAGACGGGCTAACGTTAGCCCTGGCTGCTGCAGACAAGATAACGTTAGCCCTGGCCGCTGCAGACGGTCTAACGTTAGCCCTGGCCGCTGCAGACGGTCTAACGTTAGCCCTGGCCGCTGCAGACGGTCTAACGTTAGCCCTGGCCGCTGCAGACGGTCTAACGTTAGCCCTGGCCGCTGCAGACGGTCTAACGTTAGCCCTGGCCGCTGCAGACGGTCTAACGTTAGCCCTGGCCGCTGCAGACGGTCTAACGTTAGCCCTGGCCGCTGCAGACGGGCTAACGTTAGCCCTGGCCGCTGCAGACGGGCTAACGTTGGTTGCAGTTAGCTTCAGAGGTGCGCTGGTTGTCACGGTCCTTTCAACTTCTGATTTTTTTTTTGTTTAATTGCGCACTAAATCAGTAAGTGAAGCTTAAAGTTTAATGTTCTCGCCTCAAATGATCATAAAACGTACTTTTATTGAACAACAACGCAACAGAAAAGAGAACTTTTGACTTAATACTCTGAGCTCTGGGAGCGCCAACCTGGAAGCTGCTGCTGCCGCAGTGCATGCTGGGACAGCTGTCAGTCTGAAGAACGGACAGGTCTGCTCTGATGCATGCTGGGTAAAGAGGGAGGGGCCAGAACAACATCCGGGGACTTTGTCTGTTCTCTGTCTGCTGTTCTTGTAAATTGGAACAGTGCTAGAGCTGAGGTTGATGAGGTTTCACGAGTACACAAGGACGCACAAGTACACAGATTGAGAAACGGTCAATGAGTCGATGCAATCAGCTGGTTTTTCTTAGATAGAAAACTTTGAATCAATCTGACTGGATGATCTGGTGAGCTGGAAAGTGACCTGAGATGACATGTGTTGTTAATTAGAGCTATAGAAATAAACTGAATAGAATTGAATTGATGTTTTAGTGTCAAGGGTCATGTTTAGGGCTGTGGAGGTTAGTGTGAGGTATGAACTTTAGGCTGAGTCACAATTAGGGAGTAGAAATGAACAGAAAGGCAGTGAGACATGTTTCTGTGTGTTTATGGTACCTATTTTAGACAATTTTTGGTAAATTAGTTAACCTTCCAATGTGGTGGACTGACATTTTTTAATGTTAGGGAGTCAGTTAGAGGTGACTGGTTGTTGTCGGAAAATTTACATTTCTCTTCTATTATATATTAATATTTCCTATTTACTCACTATAAAAGTCTTCACTTACCTTGAAGGCCACACCATTCCCTGCAGGATGGTGTTTGTAGACCAGACATAGCTTCTTCCCATAACAAACCAGATTCTGTCTCAAAGTTTATTCATAACATGTTACTGTTTAATCAAAGTGTCTGTCATTTGTTTTGACTCTGACTACTCTCTATTGTTGTAAGTGAGGAGGAACGAACGCTGTTCATGCAGAACAGAGCTGAATGCTGTGCCATAAGGGCTTCATGATGACTGTTCTCTCTTTGCAAAGATATGAGTAAATGTGCCGACTGAGTGAAATTCATCGATCTCCGTTTATTCAACTAGGGTGAATAGTTGAATATTTTTTTCCCACGACACTGGTATACTGGTAATGGTTCGGGTGAAGGACTGGGATAGGCAGAAATCCAGTAAAAAAATGAATGTATGTGTATGTAATCCCTCAATATGGATTGAAACATAAACCTTTGTCTGTGTGTCTAGTACCATCCAGACCGTCTCGGAGGTGGAAGTTCATCAGAGTCTGGTGTCAAGAAGTTTCTAGAAGTGGACGCAGCCTGGAAGATTCTCAGTGACCAGACCTCTAGAAGACATTATGACATGAAGAGGAGGGGTGAGCTTTGCTCCGTTCACATTTCACAACTATTGTTACTTCAGATTTTATTAGCCACACCTCCACCTCAGCCCAGAACGGGCCAACCCTTTTTCTCGCTGAAAATAGCAGGTTAACGCGTGTTTTTCAAACCTGGATCGACGCGCTAACAATCAGCATCTGGCTCCCTTCCGGTTGGCTAAGAAAGCTGGTTTAACCCCTCGCTGGCAGCTGCGTGGCCTCTGTCCCCCCACCGCTGCGTGTCTGATGACAACATCACGCTGGGTTAGCATTGATTATGTCATCAGTGTGACAGAAATCAGGGAAGTAAACAATGGAGGGCGACATGTAAGAACGCCAGGGCGTAGTCAGTGTGCTTTATTGTTTCTCTCTATTATCTGTCTGAATCCCTCTCTCCATGTTTATCCAATGGAAACGGAGCTCATTCTGCTTGTTAGGTCAGAAGCGACTGGCGCGATGTGTTGACGTCCGTACTTTGCGTTCAATGGTATCCGTAATTTAGGGGGTCGACCCGGTGATCTGTCAGATAAGCATACCCATAGTCAACACTCTTTTTTTTAATCCCTTTAGTTTATCCCAAAATTGCCAAAAATACACTTTAAACTACCTCAACAGGCGTATATCCCTTTAGTCATGAACTAAAGAACTATTTAATTACTTCATTTTTGTTTTTTTTAAGCATGTGGTGATCTGACATCAGTTTTTTTTTGTTCATGACTAAAGGGATACACGCCCGTTGAGGTAGTTTAATGTCTATTTTTCCTACAAAACTAAAAGGATAAATGCAAATCTGACATCTTGCACGTTTATTGACTATAGGTACGCTGGTCTGACGGGGTATGCTCATCTGATAGAACAACAGCTCTGGTGTTCCCACATCATGCCTATCAGAGCCGAGGTGATTTTAACGCGGGTCGCTTGTGGAATCGTGTTAAAATCACTGTTCCCACTGTCACTAAAAGCCCACTGTTCCCAGGATTAGACTCTGGGAAAGGAGCATTAGTGTCGTCTCTGTAGGTTAATGTTTATGGTTCCTTTATGCAGCAGCTCAGCGTTGCTCTACTTCCTTCACATTTTGTTGGCTTTACTTTTATATCTGTGGGGCCATGTTTAGCTCAACAGTCTGTTATACATTTGTCAGCGCGTTTCCTCGGTGTGTGGTCGGCAAATTCAGACCTGAATAAAATGTCACATATAGGAGGATAAAAACAGAGGAGGAGGTTAAAGCTAGGAAAGGAAGCTGTAGGTTGTTCTGAAGTTTGTTGGATGATGAGGAGGATTAGAGAGTCAAACACTTCATTAATACAGATTAAATTAAGATTGAATCCTTTTCTATTGTATCATAATGGAACATTCAAATCAGGGATGCTTCGACTTCCTGGTGAGACGCAGCCATGCTAACGACCTCTCCCCCAGGTAGCCCCTCATTATTGATTCAAGAGCAAATTATCACTAGTTTAGCAGCCATTATTCTTCATTTAGTGTGACACTAATTAAAAGCTACGCCAAATTTAACACAAATTATTAGAGCTTCAAAGTATTTATCGCTATCAAACGGAACAACTTGATAATCACTGTTTCCTCACGACTGAATTGTTTAGAAATGTGCTAACATCTGTCGTCTTCACCGTCCGCTTACAGCTACAGTCCATCCATAGATTATACACACACCTCACCTTTCATCACATATCACTCAAAGCCTTATTCCTAAAGGGATTACAGGGTCCAGATTCGACCTCCATATTACTCCACAGGGACAAATGAAAGCAGTTTGAAGCAAATATCTGCTTAAACAAACATTTACATAAAAAACTCTTATTCTGAAATATTGTCAGCCTTTGCTTTGCTACAATGCTGTTACTTCTGATCCTCCCTCAGGTGCTTCTCCACACAAATTACAATCATGTGGAGGTAAATCCAGCTGATTTTACAGGAGTGAAATGGAGCCCTCTTTCTCTATAAGCCCTCATCGCTATGGGTGGGGAAATAATCAATTTGGCGATATATATGGCCGCCTGATTTAATATGGATATTTCACTTTGAAATATTGGGTTATTATATATTATTATAAATATTTGGGTTTAAGGACCCAAATGCAGAGGTGAGGTTCTTTTTATTTTTAATGGAGTACTCACAGGCAACAGAGGCAGAATCCAAAAATCCAACATAAGTACAATAAAAAGAGAACCTTGGAGACATCAGGGGAAAACATGCATGAAGAGTCAGGAAAAGACGAGGAACCAGCGCAGAGAGTTTATATAGGAGACTGGATTAATGGGAGCTGATTGGGAACAGGTGTGAACAGAGGATTCTAGAAGGAGCTAAGAAAACGGAGACCAACACAAGAGGGCAACAGAGGGCAAGCAAGAAAAACTTAAAAACTCAAATATATCCAGAAAACACCACAAAATAGGAATTAAACCAATAAAACTACAAAACGGAAAACATGGATGTGAAACTGAATACTGAGACGAGGAGACTAAACTGTTCATAATTTATTCTTTATGGTACGCCAGCATTCAGAAGATGTAGGATAATCACTGTCCCCCAGACTTCAGCAGTTATATTTTTTATATTTGTATTTTTTTTTAAAACAAAGCAGAGTGTGTACGACATCATCCGCGCACGCCGGCTACCATTCATTCTTCCTGTCCACTGAACTGCTGCTAGTTTTCCTCACATGCCTGGAAGATGTCTATTGCTGCTACCCCAGATGATCTCGCTCTCCAAATGGAATTGCCTGTTATGACTCCAGTCCAGTGCATGGATGATGTCATAAACACGCCGCTTTGTTTTTAAAAATGGAAATATAAAAAATATACACTAACGGTGGATGTCTGGGGGTCAGTGATTCACCTACATGTTATGAATGCTGGCGTACCATAAAGAATAAATTATAAGCAGTTTAGTCTCCTCGTCTCAGTCTCCTATAGATGTTCAGGTAGCTTCATCCTTGGACCTCCTCTTCTGCTCTGTCTGATTTAGTATCTAGGAACAGGAGATCTGGATTTCTACCCACAGAAAGCAGGAGAAGCTGTTTGCATAAAGCTTTTATAATCTGTTAACAGAATCTCACTTTTAAAAAGTAAAACTTTCTTTTGCTGCTTCTTAACTATTTTTTTTTTTAGTTTATTAGTGTATGGGTTATTTTCATGCTAGACCTATCGTCCACTGCCAGTTTTCCTTGACCAGTCTGGAGGACGGAGGTTCTTCTAACCATTGGAGTCTGATGTGTTTCTAAGGATTCATCTGCATCTATTCTCTCTGCTGTGGTTTTAAAACTGTTTCTTCTCCAGAACAGGAACTGAAACAAGACTGGACAGTCGATTCTACAGTCTACCTGCAGGACATGACCTGGGACTCAGGTGATGGCACGTTTAGCAGCTAGAGGACCAACACCTTTTATTAATACATCTTTCCTGATTCATCGCGTTTGGGTTTGTGATAAACTCTTTGCTTCACGAATGAACTGAAATCATCAACCTTTAATGCAAACTTTGAGGTTTTTTAAAGAAAATCCAGCCACATATTCAGATTTATATAAACATCTCTTCTGTTTGCTATGTTTTTAAATTATCACTGTTCCAAAAAAAAAAAAAAAAACATCAATCCTCTGGACTTTGTTTCCAAGTTTGAAGATGTTTCTCTTCCATTCAGGAAGCTTTTTCAATTCAAAATGTCAAAAATAGAGTTGAGTTCCAGGTTTTATACAGCAGCCCAATAAAGCCTTGTTTTTGTTTAGAAAACATGCAAATAGAAACGGATGAACGGGTCCACCTCTTTGGAATGGGGGTCGTTTGGCTTCTTTGTTAGCCTGCAATGCCCCATACCTGTCTATGTCTCTGAAAGGGGGTCATTCAAGGGAATTGTTGGTCTGGCTGAATAGGTCTTCTGTTCTCCCGTAAAGGGGTTGGGGCTGCGATGATAGCGGGAAAAAATCAACTCTATCGCTGCATTGTAGATTTTTTAAAGCTGAAACCTGAGCCCACCCCCCCCCCCTCTGTTTAAGGTTAGTTTTTCTTTCTTAACATAGACGGCTTCCTTCACGCCCCTCTCAAACCACTTGTCTTCTTTGTCCAAAATGTGAACATTCTTGTCCAGTTTTGTCCAGAGGAGGGCACTCTTCTGTGTTGGGCCATGCGTCTGTGGAGAGGTTGTTTGGTTTCTCCAATATAAAGATCAGAGTATTCCTCTCTGCATTGACAGTGTGCAAGGCAGAAATGGGATTTTGGCACAATGGTGCCAAAAGTGTAACAAGACAACAGCCAGATGCATGTCTCGCTCCGCCTAGCTCCACTCACATACATCTGGGAACCCGCTCATTGAAAGTGATTTCCCCAACCGATTTATGGTCTGTCCAATCAGGACGCAGGGTGGGTGTGTCCTGGAGTGGAGAAGCGACCGTGAGATTCCAACAACAATGGCGGCTCGCATTGAGGAAGCAAGCGTTAGCATTGATGCTGCTATTTCTTCTGTGTTGTCCAATCTATCTGATATTGTTTCATCAAAAGAACATCAGAGAACGGCTTTGAAGGCTTTTGTTGGTGGAAACGATGTTTTCGCCTTTCTCCCGACCGGATTTGGCAAGAGCTTGATCTACCAAATGGCTCCTCCTCTCACAGCGTCACGGGTTAGCTTCGGTGTGAGTGGTTGAAATAGCACGTCAATAAAGATGACAGACAAGTGGCTTATCCAATCATATGCAAGGAGTTTTGATAAGGCCCAGCCTTCAGTAAAGGCAATTCCTATGGCGGGTTCCCAGATGTATGTGAGTGGAGCTAGGCGGAGCGAGACATGCATCTGGCTGTTGTCAGGTTACCAAAAGTGGCCAAATTGAGCCAAATGCATTTTTCCACTAATGAAAGGGAATCTGGTCAGACAACTATTCTGATTTCCATTATTGGAGACCTTCTGCATAAGGCAAAGCCCTTGCTCCCGACACTTAGCCGTTAGTTCATGAAATTTTCCAATAATATCACCAAACTGAATAGAAAATAGGAATAACAGAGCAGCTTACGCATGCTGCTTACATCACCTGAAATGGTCGCACAATGACCTCTGACCCCTCCTTAGAAAGGTCTGAGCCTCTAGTTTCCAATGATGGTGGCCATTAGGGGGTGGGGCTAAAAATGAATACCTGCTGTTGCATTACTCCCGCAGAGTCTCACATGTCAGGTGGAATTTTAAATCTCATTTTATTTGTTTACACAGCTATAAAACGAACAGTATTTGTAAAAAAAAATAATTTTAAAAGAGGTTTTAGAAATTTCAAAGCCCCATTTTGAAAGGCATGTGGATGAAACACCATGTGACTGAGTTTGTGCCATTTCTAGAACTGGATCAACATGAGCAAGTGACAGATGGGCCCTGTATTGGGCCTGCGGGGCTCAAGGGGTTAAGTCAGGTTTTATTATGGACCTGCTTGGTCTGTGTGCAAGTCCGCTTCAGAAAATACTCCTTATCCTCCTCTTATTATGAAGAGAACTGACAGAAGTTCAAAGTGCAGAACAACAGAAGAAAAGAAATGTATGCAACTTTTAAATACGACATGGTCTGCTTCAATATTTACACAAAATCTTCTCTGAGGTTTATGGTCTGAAGAAGAGACGGCAGCTTTGTGCTGCTTATGTCAGAGAGAAATGGGCAGACTGGTTTGAGATAAATTAATAAAAAATTGTAAAAAATTAGCTGTAATTTGGATCAAGGATTACTGAAGGCCGTCCCTGAAAAAACAAAATGTCGACTCATGTAACCGATGGTCTACAGCATCAGACGGAGACTCATGGTTCCACCCATGGCAGCGAAGGAAAGAAAACTTTCATGGATGCGTTAAAATTAGACAATAACTTGTTAGAGAAAAGGCAACAGCTTTCATTAAAGCTCAGAGATTTGGGTCTTTGAAACCAAAGCCTGATTGAGTCAAAGGACAATCAGTAAAAAAACAAAACTGTTTTAAATCCCACATTAAAGCAAATTCAGTTTATTTCTATAGCTCTAATTCACATCATGTCATCTCAGGTCACTTTCCAGTTCACCAGATAATCCAGTCAGATTGATTTAAAGTTTTCTATCTAAGGAAAACCAGCTGATTGCATCGAGGCAATCCCTCACACTAAGCATGCTTGTAGCGACAGTGGAGAGGAAAAAGCTCAGTTAACTGCACAGTTAATGCTTCTGTTTATGCATAATGACAAAACGATATTTATAAAAGTCTAAACCATGTGTAGGTGACTGTAGGACTTTAGATATTCCGATCCACGTTTTATGATCTTTGGCTAAATTTCCTGTCATTCAGGAAATCTGTGTGATCCAGATAAGGACTGCAGTCACTGAAGACTTGTGTTGTTTCAGACGAGTGTGAATACACGTACTGCTGCCGCTGTGGAGGAAGATTCAGCGTCTCCAAGGAGGAGGTGGAGCAGCAGCACGCAGAGAGCATCCTGGGAGATGATGAAGTGCACAAAGCCACAGAGAGCGGCGTGCTGGTCTGCTGCGATACCTGCTCACTAACCATCTTTGTCACCTTAAATGAAAATATTCAAATGTCAAAATAAATGTTTTAAGTATAAAACACTCCTGACTCATCCTCTTTCTGTGCATAGACTGACACAGCGTGTTCTATACACCTTGCTGACCTGTCAACAGTGAAAAGTCTGGCTTTAATGCCGACACTGGATCCAGTGTTTTTGTAAGGAAGGTTATCAGGAGCAGCGCAGACAGGCAGCCTGGAACCCCCCCAGGGAGAATGCCTGGGTCCTCTGAGATGCTCCTTACATGAACAGACTTGCTTTTCTGCATGATGCTTCTTAGCAAGCAGGGGGTGGGGGGGACGGGGGTCATGTTTCAGTAGTGCTAAGAAAACATGACTCCATCTTTCTCATGCAGAAAATGTTTGAATTTTCAATGTTTCTGGGCCACATTCCACCAAATACCCGGTTCAGTGACAGTTTCCAGGTTCCCGGATAGGTCAGCAAATCCTCAGAACAGCCACAGACGGAGTGGGGCGAGTCTTCCAGTGATATCCAGCCATTACTGACCTGCCTGGTCTGAAAAACATGAAGGAATTGTAGAACAATTGCAGTTTCTGTTCCTGAACAGGAACTGAAGGCGTCATCTGGAACAGGAAGCTAACATTCCACCGTATTTGTTCACACTGCAGTCAGCAATCATTCCACATCCAGTTTGGTAAAAATGATTTTAACAGGTTTGGTTCAGTTCGATTGCATGTTCTCCCTGTGCATGTGTGGGTTCTCTCCTGGTACTCCGGCTTCCTTCCACAGTCCAAAAACATGACTGTTTGGTTAATTGGCTACTCTAATTTCTCCTTAGGTGTGAGTGAATGGTTCTTTGTCCCGTTTGTCTCTTTGTACACAAAATGACAATAAAACTTGTCTAGTTGGTGGACTAGTGTGTAGAGCTTTAAATTCTGAGGTTCTGAGTTCAAGCCCCACAGGTTGCCACTCAGGGTCCTTGAGTCAGACCCCTAAACCCCAGACTGCTAATCTGACACCGCACATTAAAGGGCTGCTTATCCTCCCGCAGCAGTCTGTTGCAGATGTTTTTGATTATGCCCAATATTGAAGCGTGTTCTGCGCTATGTTATTCCACGCCACAACGCCAGAGGGCCAATCAGGAACTAGCTGTGGTCTAGATACACCGAGGTGGTGAGGAAGTGGGAGAAAGTTTGTGTGACAACGGAGCGACATGAGGGCCAAAAAGAGCGGGGATCCAGGTGGGAAAAGGGTCCCAGCATTGGCCAAGGGGGCGGGGCATATCTGTGTTCACTGAGACACGCAGACGACCTGGTTTCTGAGTACAAATTAATTCTTTTAAAAAAAAGACTAAAGAAAATAATAGCTTGGTTGCAAGCTAATCCTTTCGGTGCAGTGGGTAGAGCTGCAACCTTGCAACACGAAGATTCCGGGTTCGACTCCCAGACCGGGGTGTTTCTGCATTGTCATGGGGAGTGGTGGGCTAGTGGTTAGGGCATAGAGCTTGGAATCCTGAGGTTGGATTTGAAACCCACTGCCCCTCTGGGTCCCTGAGCAAAGACCCAGACACCCTGATATACACTATATTGCCAAAAGTATTTGCTCACCCATCCAAATTATTGGAATCAGGTGTTCCAATCACTTCCATGGCCACAGGTGTATAAATTCAAGCACCTAGGCATGCAGACTGTTTTTACAAACATTTGTGAAAGAATGGGTCGCTCTCAGGAGCTCAGTGAATTCCAGCGTGGAACTGTGATAGGATGCCACCTGTGCAACAAATCCAGTCGTGAAATTTCCTCGCTCCTAAATATTCCACAGTCAACTGTCAGCTGTATTATAAGAAAATGGAAGTGTTTGGGAACGACAGCAACTCAGCCACGAAGTGGTAGGCCACGTAAACTGACGGAGCGGGGTCAGCGGATGCTGACGCGCATAGTGCGAAGAGGTCGCCAACTTTCTGCAGAGTCAATCACTACAGACCTCCAAACTTCATGTGGCCTTCAGATTAGCTCAAGAACAGTGCGCAGAGAGCTTCATGGAATGGGTTTCCATGGTCGAGCAGCTGCATCCAAGCCATACATCACCAAGTGCAATGCAAAGCGTCGGATGCGGTGGTGTAAAGCACGCCGCCACTGGACTCTAGAGCAGTGGAGACGCGTTCTCTGGAGTGACGAATCGCGCTTCTCCATCTGGCAATCTGATGGACGGGTCTGGGTTTGGCGGTTGCCAGGAGAACGGTACTTGTCTGACTGCATTGTGCCAAGTGTAAAGTTTGGTGGAGGGGGGATTATGGTGTGGGGTTGTTTTTCAGGAGCTGGGCTTGGCCCCTTAGTTCCAGTGAAAGGAACTCTGAATGCTTCAGCATCCCAAGACATTTTGGACAATTCCATGCTCCCAACTTTGTGGGAACAGTTTGGAGCTGGCCCCTTCCTCTTCCAACATGACTGTGCACCAGTGCACAAAGCAAGGTCCATAAAGACATGGATGACAGAGTCTGGTGTGGATGAACTTGACTGGCCTGCACAGAGTCCTGACCTCAACCCGATAGAACACCTTTGGGATGAATTAGAGCGGAGACTGAGAGCCAGGCCTTCTCGTCCAACATCAGTGTGCAACCTCACAAATGCGCTTCTGGAAGAATGGTCAAAAATTCCCATAAACACACTCCTAAACCTTGTGGACAGCCTTCCCAGAAGAGTTGAAGCTGTTCTAGCTGCAAAGGGTGGACCGACGTCATATTGAACCCTATGGATTAGGAACGGGATGTCACTTAAGCTCATATGTGAGTCAAGGCAGGTGAGCAAATACTTTTGGCAATATAGTGTAGATAGCTGGTCACGGATGTCTGTGAGTCGGATAAATTGTCCCGGATTTTTGTCTATGCTAGGTGGTGTTTTTTTAATGCCAGGGAACCATTAATAGGTTGATTCCTCGTGTGATAAAAAAAAAATAAATGCTAAGTTTACAGCACAATATACTAAAGTATGTCCACGTATAGTTAAAGTGAAGAATGATGAAATATGTATGGGGCACGGTGCGGTCGGTTGTCTAAGGGGGGGTGGGGAGGATAACCCGCCATGAAATGAGTTTTTGGAACTTGGGATGTCTGAAGACCCTTCACCCCACACTGCTCTCTGGGTGCCACACAATGGCAGCTTACTGCTCCCCAAGGAGATGGGTGAAATGAGAGTTAATTTTGTTGAGCTGTACTTCTGACAGTGGAATAACAATAAAATGCTGAAAAAAAAGTCTAAGTCTAATCTGGATCCAGTCAGACTAAATAACAAAGACACAAACTCCAGATGCTTCTTAATGACTGAATGAGTTTCACTCAATATTTAGAATATACCTGCATAATAAAATTGACTGAATTTGGTTCATAAATCTGAAAGTGTTGGAAATGAAAGCCTAAACTGATGTTTTGCGACCAGAAGAATAAAGCCGTAAATGCTTCAGAAGCAGTGACCTAAATGACAGAGCTATACTGCTCTCAGCGGGGCTCCTGACACACAAAGGATAAAGACTGATAATGACTTTGCTCCCCCTGGTCGGTCACAACCTGCAAAGGTCGCAGCTGACAGGAGCTCTGTGTGAAGATCGCCTCTCATCCATCCATCCATTCATCGCACTCTACCTGCAAAGTAAGGAAGAGGGCAAAGAAAATTGTTGTCTAATAAAAAGAGAGAGGTAAGGTGTGGTGTTGTTCACTAATTACGGTTCCCTAGAATCTTCTCACCGCTAGTGACTGAATCAGAGACGATTATCTGCTGTCATAAAAAGAGGGGATGGGTCAGGAAGGTGCTATGTGTGTGTTTTGAGGTGGGGGAGGGGGTGGGAGGGGGACGGGCTGACAGCTGATGTTTAATTAAAGGATTGAAAGAATATTGATGTGACAGACACAGACGCACGCTGGGAACCAAATCACTTTCACCAACATTCGACCTGCAATTAGGGCGTCTTAGATCACTTTCCACAGAGCAGCCGTTTACACAAAGCCCTCAGCTGCATGTGATGCCGTTACCCAACACCTGAATGTTTTTAGAGCTGTCTCTGGAGAGTTCAACACACCTCTCCTTTGTGAAGCACGTCCAACTTTCTGTTAATCAACTGCTGCTTGTGAGAAAACGCAGTTTTTCTTCAAGTAAAATATGGAAATGTTTATCTGTGGAATTAGATTGAGGGCGTTTAGATTTCTTACCCGCGTGGAGACATACAGTGGGTGAAATAGGTATTGAAGAGACATCATTTTTCTCAGTAAACATATTTCTAGAGTTGCTATCTATATGACATTTTCAGGTTTACTGAACAGCCACATGGTAGGCCTATTTAATGTGTAGAAGAAGACAGAATCAACTGAGGAGGAACCCATGAGATGATGATTGATTGATTAATTTACTTTATTGATCTCACAGTGGACAAATTTACTCATTCCATCAGCTCAAATAGTCAAAGGAGAGTCAAAGAAGGTGCAAAAGGAAGAAAAAGGTGCATGGGATATATACAGTATATTTAGTGCATCCATATATGGCGGCTTGTTTTTAATAATAGGATCATTATACAGGGTTATTGCACAGGGTGTTTACATGGGTATTTTAATAGATTTATATTTATACATAGTTATTGCACTAGGCGTCAAATGTAGAGAAACAGGTTATTGCACAGGGTGTCAAATAGTAATTGCAAGCATCCCAAGTTCCAAAAACTAATTTCAGGAAGATGCTTATCTTCACTCTTCAGCATTCCTCTCCTTCACTTGATGTGGATATACTTTAGTATATTTTGCTGTAAAATTAGTCTTATATTTTAGTTTTGTACTCGAGGATTCAACCTCTGCCATTTCACAGGATGCACAGCTTTGAGTGGTAACTAGGTGATTGTCAGAGTAAACCGAAATTTATTGGCTTATTTTTCAATCAGCGCGCTCTCTGACAACTGGTCGCCCGGAACGCTCATTGAACAGAGCATCGCTTTGGACAGCCAACCTCCTCCCCACACCCGCTCTCTCTTGTTGTCTGCGCAATCGAAGTAGTTCTAATCCGCACATGATGCACAAATTATTGTATTGCGTGCACGCTCTCA